AAGAGCGCAATGATGGTGCCAACTTGGGCCAGTGAAGCAACATCCTCCACAACTAGATTGAAGAACAAAACAACAGCAACTTGTCTGTTCCCCTTTCCCCAATTCCCCAGCACTGTTCCCATCCCCCCAATTCCCCAATAAAAATCTTAAAAAAAAAATATCCTACTGTGAAAGCCAAATTTTTTATCTGAAATCTTCTTAGGATGGAATAAATATTTTCAATTGCATATAATTTATATTGTATATTATAAATATTATACATATTCATATTTCTGACAAATGTGTAGATATAGTGAGAGATGACTAATAAACTTTTTAAGAGTTCATCTAGCGGTTCTGCTCAAGATGGCAAAGTAGGTAAATGTTGTGCTCCCATGACAATTTATAAGTAAATTATAGAACAATCAACCTGTAGAACCATCTAAAGACTAGCTGAGCAGAAGTCTAAAGAAATAAAGAAGAAGCCACATCAAGACTGGTAGGAGGGGCAGAGATATGAAATAGGCTGGTCCCCATACCCTCATGTGACTATTAAAAATCAGGAGGGATATCTTGCTGCAAAGGTTCTCCTTGAGGAGCAAGGGGTCCTAGTCCTATACCAGATGCTACAGGCTGAGCACCAGTGCCAGGAAGAGGAGCCCCCACAACATGTGGCTGTGAAAATCAGCAGGGATTCCATCCATCTGGGTGATATGGAAGTCTGCTAGAACCCCAGGTGTTGTCATAAAGTTCCTATGCACAGACTCACTTGTTCATAGGCACTCACTCTGGGCTCCAGCAAAGGAACAGAAGCTTGGGAGGTGCCAGAGACACACAGGGGAAAACTGAGTTGTGGCTTCAGGATGAGGACTGGAAAGACAGCCACCATTGTCCCTGTGTTGAGCCCTCCTCGCACATGGCTGGCAGATGGGCACCATATTTTCTGTATTGAGTTCTGCTCCAACACAATCAAATCTGAATCAGCATTGGCCTTGTGAACTGCACTCATTCAACCCTGATGACTTTCTGAAACACTGCCCCACACAACTGGTTCAACACCAGAGGCTTTTTCAGTGGCAGGCAGATGGCCTTGACCTGCACTACAGTCTTTCTTTAAAAATGCCTCAGAAGTCCACAGGCCCTAGGTGAGCATCAACTGGTCTTGGTGTGACTAGAGACTTGCTGTGTGGTCCCAGGCTAGCATTGGTACCAAAGCCAAATCTGCATTAACCCAGAGAACACCACTCAGCACACCCTAGTGACTCCCTAAGACCCCACTTCATCCAACTTTCCAACCACCCGAGGCTCTTTCAGCAGCTGAGCCTTACAGGCACCTAGGAGACAGCAGCAGGCCTTGAGGTGCCCAGTGCCTTTTTCTGGGCTGTCCCAGGCCTGGTACTGGTGGCAGCAGGCTTCAGTTCACAGCGTAGCCTCTCCCACATGCCTCCAGGTCCAACACAGGCAGCTACCAACCACAGATGATTTTGTAACTCCTACCAGTATCCCAGGGGTGGTCACAGGCAGTGGCTGACCTTGGCCTACACAGGAGCCCCTCCCAAGAAGCCCCAAAATCAACATACATTGTGGCTAGCTTCAGACCAAAACAGAGCACTACACAATAAGCTCCATAAGTGGCACACCCAAAAGGTAGTCTTGGCAGGCACCAGAGCTAGCTGGTGCACATCCCACTCCATGGGGTCAGTCCTTACACAGCAGCTCATACATCGTGGTTGTGGCCAATCCTCACAGACAGTCAGCATGAGGGTCAATCCCACTCACTGACATGCAAACAGCAATCAAGGCTCAACTAAAACAGGAGGGCACACACAGCCTATACAAGGGACACTACTGGATCACCCAGCTGAGTTGAGCAGAGAGACAGACACTGGACCACACAGGACACTTACTACATAAGGCCACCTGGCCAAGACTGGGAGACATAGCAGATCTACCTAACACACACACACACACACACACACACACACACACACACACACACAAAGGCAGCCAAAATGAAGAGGAAAAGAAACATTTCCCAAATGAAAGAACAGGAGAAAACTCCAGAAAAAGAAATAAACAAAATGGAGGCAAGCAACTTACCACATACAGATTTCAAAACACTGGTTAAAAGGATGTTCAAAGTACTAAGTGAGAACTTCAAAAAAGAGATAGTAAGCATGAAATAGGACATACAAACCATAAAAAAGTAAAAGACAGAAGTGAAGAATACAATAACTGAAATGAAGAATACACTAGAAATATCAACAGCAGATGAGCTAAAGCACAGGATACAATTAACAATTAGGAAGACAAGGTAGCAGAAATTTGGAACAGCAAAAAGAAGAAAAGAATTTTAAAAAATGAGGGTAGTTTAAGGGGCCTCTGGGACAACATCAAATATAACAACATTTGCATCATAAGGGTACTAGAGGAAGAAGACAGAAAGCAAAGTATTATAAACCTATTTAAAGAGTTGATGGCTGAATACTCCCTAACTTGGCAAAGGAAATAGATGTATAAGCCCAAGAAGTATAGAGAGTCCAAAAACAAGATAGACACAAAGAAGCTTACAGCAACAAACATCATAATTAAAATGTCAAAGGTTAAAGACAAAGAGAGAATCTTAAAAGCAGCAAGAAAAAAGCAGTCAGTTACCTCCAAGGGATCTCCTATAAGTCTGTCAGCTGATTTCTCAACAGAACTGTTGCAGGTCAGAGGGATTGACATGAAATATTCAAAGTGATGAAAAGCAACAACCAACAACCAAGATTACTCTAACTAGCAAGGTTATCATTGAAATTGAAGGACAGATAAAGAACTTCCCAGACAACAAAAAGCTAAAGGAATTCATCGTTGGCAAACCAGTGTAACTATGTAAAACTTTATTTCTTAAAAATGACTTTTTCTTTTTTCTTTCTTCATGATTCAAACTGGCCTTGTCTAGCCTAGTAGTACCATGACTAACTTGCTTCTTTTCTTTCCTTAATCCTTCCACCTTTGCACATACTGCACAACCACTCCCTTAATCATTAAGTCCTTAGGACATGAGATTCTGGTCACATCAACCAGTCTTAGGGACAAAGCCTCAGGTCTGTTGACCACAGAATCAGAGGTTTCAGTCAAACTAAAGATAATATCTTGGCCTCAGATATTATTTGTTGTATTTCAGCTTCAGATCCATAAAGACAGAAGTATCCTAAGGGCAGCATCTCCTCAAAACCAGACAAAATGATGCCATGACTGACATCAGGATTTGATGCAATGGTCAAGTGCCTCCTATCCTAGCCCCAACCACCCACTAGAGCCCATGACTCCAACTTTCTTAGTTACCATGAATAATGATTTTCCCCCCTACATAACCTATCCTCTAAAGGCCAACAGGGAGCCAGATCTTTGAGTGCTAGCTCACCTGTGTTTCTGGGCTTGGTGTCATTTTCCCAAATAATAAACCTTTACTTTATTTGCAGTAAATCCCTATTCATGTCCTGCTTGGCTTTGATAGCACAGTCAAATGAACCCCTTTTAGTTCTGCAACATCAGTAATAACAATAAATATTAGAAGTATTTTTTAAGAATAAGAAGGGAGAAAAAACATAAAGATGAATAATAAAATGGCAATAACAATACACTTATCAATAATCATTTTAAATGTAAATGGATTACATGCTTCAATCAAAAGATATAGGGTAGTTAAATGGATAAAGAAAAATAAGACCCATAAATGTGCTGTCTACAAGAGACCTACCTCAGATTAAAAGACACACATAGACTGAAAGTAAAGGGATGGAAAAAGTTATTTCATGCGAAAAGAAATGAGAAAAATTCTGGGGTAGCCATATTTATATCAGACAAAATAGACTTTAAAACAAAGGCTATAATAAGAGACAAAGAAGGACATTACGTAATGATAAAGGAATCAATCCTACAAAAAGCTATAACCCTTGTAAATATTTATGCACCCAACATAGGAGCATCTGAATATATAAAGCAAATATTGACCAACATAAAGAGAGAGAGATCAATAGTAATACAATCATAGTAGGGGAATTTAAAACCCCATTGACACAAATGGACAAATGTTCCAGACAAAAGATCAACATGGAAACAGCAGTCTTAAATAACACGCTATACCAGATGGATTTCATTGATATTTTTAGAGCATTTCACCCCAAAGTAGTAGAATATACATTCTTTCAAGTGCACATGGAACATTTTCCAAAATAGACCACATGTTAGGCCACAAAACAAGTCTCAATAAATTTAAAAAGAGTGAAATAATTTTAAGCATCTTCTCTGACCACAGTGCTATGATATTAGAGGTCAATTACAAGAAAAATACTGGAAAACACAAAAATACATGGAGGCTGAATAACATGTTACTAAATAGCGAGTGGGTCAACAATGAGATCAAGAAAGAAATCCAAAGATACCTTGAGACAAGCAAAAATGAAACATAATGACCCCAAATCTATGGAACACAGTGAAAGCAGTCCTAAGAGGGAAATTCATAGCAATGCAGGCCTACCCAGAGAAACAAGAAAAACCTGAAATAAACAGTCTAACTTTACATCTAAAGGAAATGGAAAAAGAACAGCAAATAAAGCCCTAAGTGAGAACAGGAATGTAAATGATAAAGATCAGAGCAGAAGTAAGTGAAATAGAGACTACAAAAAAACAATACAAAAGACCAATGAAACCAAGAGCTGTGTTTCTTGAAAAGTTAAACAAAATTGACAAACCTTTAACCAGATTCGTCAAGGAAAAAAGAGAGATAACCCTAATAAATAAAATCAGATATAAAAGAGAAGTGACAACAAGTACCACAGCAACACAACAAAAATTTTAAGAAAATACTACAAGCAACTCTACGCCAACAAATCAGACAATCTGGACAAAATAAATAAGTTCCTAGAAGCTTACAATCTTCCAAGTCTGAATCAAAAAGAAACAAAAAATCTGAACAGACTAATTACTACCAATGAAATTGAATCAGTAATCAAAAAGCTCCCAAAAAGCAAAAGTCTTAGACCAGATGGTTTCACAGGTGAATTTTACCAAATATTCAAAAAAGAATTAACACCTATTCTCCCGATACTATCCCAAAAACCCCAAGAGGATGGAAGGTTTCCAATGAAGCCACCACTACCCTGACTCCAAAACCAGACAAAGACATTACAAAAAAGAAAAGGACATAAAATTATAGGTCAATATCCCTAATGAACATAGATGCAAAATCCTCAACAAAATATTAGCAAACCAAATTCAGCAATACATTAGAAAGATCATACACCACAATTAAGTGTGATTCATTCCTGGCATGCAAGGTTGATTCAATATCTGCAAATCAATTGAAGTGACACAGCACATAAACAAAATGAAAAATAAAAATCATATAGTCATATCAATAGATGCAGAAAAAGCATTTGACAAAATCCTGGATTCGTTTATGATAAAACCTCTAAGCAAAGTGGAAATAGAGGGAACATACCTCAACATAACAAAGGCCATATGTGACAAACTCACAGCTAATATCATACTCAATGAGGAAAAGCTAAAAGATTCCCCTTAAGATCAAGAACAAGACAAGGATGTCCACTTTCACCACTTTTATTCAACATAGTTCTGGAAGTTCTAGCCACAGCAATCAGACAAGAAAAAGAAATAAAAGGCATCCAAATGGGAAAGGAAGAATAAAATTGTCATTAGCTGCAAATGACATGATACTATTGGGTTGTCAGAAAAGTCATGATGCATTTTTGCAACAAAAAACACAGAAAAAAAATACATCATGACTTTTCCAACAACCCAATATATATAAAGAACCCCAAAGATTCCATAAAAAAACTATTAGAATTGACAAATGAATTTAGCAAAGTAGCAGGATACAAAATTAATATTCAGAAATCAGTTGCATTTGTATACACCAATAATAAACTATCAGAAGAAGAAATCAAGAAATCAATCCCACTTACAATTGTTTCAAAAACAATAAAATACCTAGGAATAAATTTAACCAAAGAAGTAAAAGACATGTACTCAGAAAATTATAAGACATTGAAGAGAGAAATTAAAGAAGATACAAATAAATGGAAACATATACCATGCTCATGGATACAAAGAATTAATATAGTTAAAATGTCCATACTACCCAAAACAACCTATAGATGCAATGAAATCCCTATCAAAATACCAATGGCATTTTTCACAAAACTGTAACAAATAATCTTAAAATTTATATGGAACCGTAAAAGACCCCAAATAGCCATGGCAATCCTGAGGAAGAAGAATAAAGCTAGAGGTATCACATTTCCTGGTGTCAAATTGTACTACAAGTTTATAATAATCAAAATACCATGGGATTGGCATAAAAACAGACACATAGATCAATGGAACAGAATAGAGATCCCAGAAATAAACCCATGCCATTTAATGTATGACAAAGGAAGCAAGAATTTACATAGGGTAAAGACAGTCTATTTAATAAATGGTGCTGGGGAAACTGGACTGATACATGCAAAAAAATTGAAACTGGACACCTTCTTACCACATATACAAGAATAAACTCAAAATGGATTAAAGACTTAAATGTAATACCCGAAACCATAAAACTCCTAGAAGAAAATATAGGAAGTAAACTCTCACACATTGCCCTTAGTAATATTTTCACTGATATGTCTCCTTGGGCAAGAAAAACAAAAGAAAAAAATAAACAAATGGGACTATATCAAACTAAAAAGTTTTCTCAAAGCAAAGGAAACCATTGACAAAACAGAAAGACATTCTACTAATTGGGAGAAGATATTGGTCAATGATACATCTGATAAGGGGTTAATATCCAAAATTTATTAAAGAAAAAAAACTTGTACAACTCAACACCAAAAAATCCCAAGCAATCCAATTAAAAAGTAGGCAGAAGACCCAAGGAAGACATACAGGTGAACAATAGATATATGAAAAGATGCTCAACGTCACCAATCATTAGAGAAATGCAAATTAAAACCACAATAAGATACCACCTCACTCCTGTCAAAATGGCTATCATCAATAAATCAACAAACAACAAGTGTTGGTGAAGATGTGGGAAAAAGGGAACCCTCATGCACTATTGGAGGGACTGCAAATTGGTGCACCTACTATGGAAAATGCTATGGCATTTCCTCAAAAAAATAAAAATAAAAGTACTTTATGACCCAGCAATTCCACTCCTGGGTATTTAGTCAAAGATATCCAAAACACTAATTTGAAAAAACATATGCACCTCTATGTTTATGGCAGTACTATTCACAATAGCCAAGATATAGAAACAACTGAAATGTCCATCCATAGACAATTGGATAAAGAAAGTGTGATACATTTCCAAAATGGAGCATGACTCTGCCATAAAAAAGAATGAAATCTTAGCATGTGCAACAAATGGATGGACCTAGAGGGTATTATGCTAAGTGAAATAAGTCAGACTGAGAAAGACAAATACCATATGATCTCACTTATATGTGGAACCTAAACTACAGAATAAATGAGCAAACAAAACAGAAATAGACTCATAAATACAAAAAACAAACTGAGAGTTGCTAGATGGGAGGGGGTTCAAGGATAGGGAAAGGTGAAGGGATTAGGAAGTACAAATTGGTAGTCACAAAATAGTTATGGAGATTTGAAATACAGTATGGGGAATATAATCAATAATGTTGTAAAGACTATGTAGGGTGTCAGATGGGTATTGAACTTACCAGGGCAATCGCATCATAGATTATATAAACCCTAACCACTGTGCTGTACACATGAAACTAATATAAATAATATTGAATGTCAACTATAATTAAATATATATATATATATATATACATAATCACGGGATATAAACTACAGCATAGGGAATATAATCAATGGTATTGTGATAGTTATGTATGGTATCAGAGGAATAGTCAACTTGTTGGGGTTATCATTTTATAGGGGTGTAAATGTCTAATCATTATGTTGGTTTTACAACTGAAACTAATAAAAAAAATTATAAATTGATAGCTACAAAATAGTCACAGGGATGTAAAAATACAACATAGGGAATATAATCAATAATGTTGTAATAACTATGTATGATGCCAGGTGGGTACTAGGCTTATTGGGGGGATCACTCCAAATTATTTGTGTCAAACCATTATGCTGTACCCCTGAAATTAATATAAAATCATATTTAATGTCAATTTTAAGTGAAGAAAACAGCAAAAAAGGAAAAGGCAGAAGAAGTTTATGATTCTGGTAAAAGTTGATCAAAAGGTCAAAGCAGGCATTGCCATAGCCTGTCAGGGTACAGTCACAAAGAGATTAAACATGAAGGATGCTGTTAGCTCCAAAGCAGAATCATGGCTGAGCACATCTCTGAGTTCCATGAGTGTGTCTGATGATGTGCCAGCTACTGATGCTGCCTGGCTGATGAGACCAAGTTGGGAGATCTGAGAGAGTGTGCCCATCTCAGAATCTCCCCCATGCCCAGTGAATGGATACACTGGACTCCAAGGAGAACAGCCTTTTCAGAGAATATGGTTATGTGAAAGATGTACAGTTTTTTTTTCTTTAATAAAGATTAGGGTACCCACCCCCCCAAAAGCACTTTGTTTAAATCCAAAATATTGATTCTTTTCTTTAAAGAGTTTCATTAAAATATAGCTAACATACGATATCATATTAATTTCAGGTGTACACAATAGTTATTCAACATTTATATATCTAAAGAAATGATCATCACAATAAATCCAGCCACCTAATACTGGCAGAGCTGCCTTCCAAAATACTGACTCTTACCCAGACATGGCCTTCATAGGCTGTTCCCAGGGCTTTCTGTGGGTCTAGACAGAGGATACTGTTCTTCTGTTGAGAAGGCACTGGACAAGCTCTTGGAGCTTTTTCTACACAGGTTGTGTGACATGAGAACCCACATGCTTTTTTTAAAAAAAAAAAGATTTTTTTTTAAATTGGGGGATTGGGGGACGGGAACATTGCTGGGGAATTGGGGGAAGGGGAACAGACAAGTTGCTGTCGTTTTGTTCTTCAGTCTAGTTGTGGAGGACGTTGCTTCACTGGCCCAAGTTGGCACCATCATTGCGCTCTTCCCGGGCGAGGCAGATCAGTCGCCGGCTTCTGGATGGCCGCTCACTGCGGCTGCTGGCCACTCACGCTGGCTGCTGGCTACATACGGTAGCCCATGGCAACTCATTGGCTGCAGCCTACGCCATCGCAGGCGACTCTTGGCAGCCCAGCTCCAGGTTGAGCTGTTGTTCAGCATCTTAGCTGTAGAGGGCAGTGTCACTGGCCCTCATATGTGGGATCCGAGCCGGGATCCGAACCGGGGCCCTCTGCTGTCCCAAGCCAGTTCTTAACCATCGCGCCACTTGGCCGGCCCGAGAACCCACATGCTTTTTGAAGGAAATAAAGAGATATGGTTGTGGCGGATGCAGTGGTTTTACTCCCTTGGCCCCCCCCCATTACAAAACTACAATTCCCAGACTCCCTTGCAACTAAGTTTTGGAACTGATTTAATTTCCGTTACTGACATGACTTTTTGTGAGACTAAGTTGAACCACGCTGGGAGAGACACAGGGTGCAGAGCATCTGTTTTACCGGCATGGATTCTGACAGGAGTATGAGATCACCACTGCAGTGGGAGCCTTCTCCATTCTGCAGGCAGTGTCCTGACTCTGCAGGCTATACAGCAGCAGAGTCTTTCCTGATCTCAGCAGTACTAACAGGTTCTGGGGGCTACAGCAGCGGTGGCAGCTTCTAATTGGTCGCCTTCTTGTAACACTGATGGCAGCTGTCCCAGGCTCAGCAGAGGCCAAGTGATGCCAGGAGCAGGCAATGCTCCTGGGAGCTCAGCTTGGAGCCTGCCTCTTGGCCCCTGAGAGGTTTTTTAAGCACCTAATTCCCATTTTAAATCCCATTTGTTTAATGCACTAGGACGTGTTTATGGTTAAGGCGACCTGAGCGTCACAGCGCTAAGGGCAAGAAAGTTGTCCTGCTTGGTGCTGTGCCCCCAGGAGCACTCGGCAGGACTGGCGAAGGAAATCAACACATACATAGTCTGTGCCCCAAGATGAGGAGTGAGGTGTGAGTGCAGCGCAGTGTCCCACTGTTTGCTACTTCCAAAAATAGATCCTATTTTTTCAACAATATTTACCATAAACTCAATGAGTAAAATAAAAACAATTACAACTCAAAAATGGCATTCCATTTTCCTGTCACATAACCCAGGGAATTTGGTCTTCACACTCTGTTAGCGCTACAGGGAACAAAATATATTTAAGTGCATTTTCTTCGTAAATGTGGCCCTGCCTGCAGGGTATCCATTCACATAGGCTGTGAGGGATGAGGCTCTTTGCATTGCGCAGAGCCAAGGTCTCCGTAAATAAATGTTCCCAGTAACCAGTGGTCCAGTCTTCCCAATATGAAACTGATTCAGAGAGATTTTTTAGTAAAGTGATCAGTTTACTATCATGTTTCTACAATTCAAAGAGAACAAATCTCTGCTTAATAACTTATCGCAATGATCTGAATGTTTGTGTCCCACCAAAATTCATGTGTTGAAATCCTATTTCCAATGTAACAGTGTGAGGAGTTGGGCCTTTGGGAAGTGGTTGGGTCATGAGGGGTGCCCATGAATGGGATTAGTACCCTTATAAGAGACTCCAGAGCGCACCCTCACCCCTTCTACCATGTGAGGACACAGCGAGATGATGGCCATCTACAGCCCAGAAGAAAGCTCTCCCCAGTACCTGACCATGCCGGCATCCTGATCTCAGAATTCCAGCCCCAGAGCTGTGAGAAATAAATGTCGGTGTTTAGAAGCCATCCAGTCTATGTACTTTGTTATGGCAGCCAGAGCAGACTAAGACACTTAGTATAAAGGTTACGGCTGTGACTTCACATAGCCCTCCCTGGAATCTTACCGTCACAGACGCAGCCTTGTCTTATCAAACCCACCATCAAAGACGTGCACTGGTGACACTTGGTCGGATCAGTAAAGGACGTGAGGAAGAACCGGTGGGTCTTATTCTACAAAACAAAGAGACCAAACACACATTGAATGTTATATAACTTTGAAAAAATGATTCTGGTGATTCCTTCTATCCACCTGGTTCAAAACATCATTTTATATACAAAGAAAAGCCACTCCCTTTTTTCTCACCAACATTTAAGATTCTTGCCTCTTAATTACTTCATAATTGGAAAACCTTGAGCAAGAGGAGGAGGAGGAGGAGGAGGAGGANAAGAAGAAGAAGAAGAAGAAGAAGAAGAAGAAGAAGAAGAAGAAGAAGAAGAAGAAGAAGAAGAAGAAGAAGAAGAAGAAGAAGAAGGGGAAGAATTATTTCAGCGGTGATCAAAAGTTCATTAGTACTTTTGGAACCAAACAAATAAAGCTTGGCCTTTATTATGGCTGATCTATCCTGAACATTTCAATAGATAGGTTTTTTCTTTTTCTTTTTTTAATTAAAGTTTATTAAGGTAACAATGGTTAGTAAAGTTACATAGGTTTTAAGTGTACAATTCTGTAATACATCAACTATATATCACATTGCGTGTTTACCACCCAGAGTCAGTTCTCCTTCCTTCGCCATATATTTGACCCTGTTTACCCTTAACTACCACCTTCTTACTCCCTTACCCTCTGGTAACCACTAGACTGTCTGTGTCTATGAGTTTTTGTTTCTTTATTTGTTTGTCTTGTTCCTTTGTTGTTTTTAGTTTTATATCCCACTAATCAGTGAAATCATATAGTTCTTGGCTTTTTCTGTCTGAGATTATTATGTTAAGCGAAAAGATGCTTTCTAGGTTGATGAATTCCTCAAATGATTTCTTAATAATGGATGGAGTAAGAATTGCCTATGTATACATATGCTTATTTGAGAGGGGTAACAATAAATAATATGGTTTTCATACCTTCTATGGAAAGAAAAAAATAATTTCAAATTTTTATCTTTATAGAAAATTATATGTTTCATTTTCTACTATCAGTAAAAAATAATCTGCCTCAGTAATTGATAAAATCCTATGAAGCAGGCTGTATCACACCTCCAAGACAGATGACATCCTGAAATCTCTAACTGAAACCTAATAACTGCAAGTGTCTTCAAAGAAGTAGCAACAAGTTGGAAATTACTATGGATTTTCCATTTCTGGATCATGCCTCTCATCTCAAAATTATTGTCATAAAGTAGTAATATGTAAATTATAACAAAATCTGGTTTCTCCAAATACTAGTTAGCAAATTTTCTCACCTCCTTTGTGTCTCTGTTTCTTCATCTGCAACGTGGACAGACCTGCTATCCTGCACTGTCTGTACAAGAGCTACCTGCTCCTTATTCAGACTTTGAGCTTAGTCTCCTCTTTTCAGCACTGTCTCCTAAGGAACCTGATGTCTCTAATCCCTGAGACCTTTCAGACTGCTGAAATATGGATTGTCTTGTGACTTTTGGGCATGCCTTGTCTAAGCACTTGACATTCAGATTTCCAAGTTCTCCTAACTCCTCACGCAGACTTTCATCTTCCAAAATTATGTTGTCTTATTTACCTACTCTTTTTCTCTCATCAGTGGGTTTAGTGAGTTTCATTAGAAAGCAGAAATGTGTGCATTTTTAAATCTACTATGCTTAACACAAGGTCTTCAGGAAAAAATGGAAGGAAGAAACAAACAAAAGAAGAAAGGGAGAGAGAGGGAGGAAGAGAGGGAAAGAGAGGAGAGATTGTGAAAAGAAGAAGAAGGAGGAGGAGGAGGAGGAAGAGGAGAAGGAGGAGGAGGAGGTGAAGGAGGAGAAAAGAAGGAAGGAAGGAAGGAAGGAAGGAAGGAAGGAAGGAAGGAAGGAAGGAAGGAAAGGGTTTGAAAGCAAAATCAATTTATTGTCACTTTTTAAGGAACCTGCTAAATTGACAACTAAATGAAGTACCTTAGTTGGAAAGAGGAGTCTGCTGTGATGTTCCTTTCTCTGTATTGTTGGTGTGTGAACTGGGAGATGAACAGAATCTACGACCTGAATCAAAGATAAAAATAAATAAAAGCAAGTTATACTTCTCTACAAAATTATAAGGCTTAAATAATTCCTCAAGTAAGGCAAAATAATTATACTAGTTAATAGACAAAAACACAGTAAAGCTAAAATTTTCACAGTGTTGAAATATATTTTAAGTGATTTAAGTATATGCTTGCAGTTTTCACAAACAAAATATATGTATATTTCATATAATTTATTTCAATTTGGATATTTTAAAATGTGTCTCATAGCATGTAGACTACATTAACAGGATAATATTAATCACAAATATATTTGAAAGAGACTTTCAATAAATACATATATGACCAGAATTTTCAAGAGATTCATTGAGCGGTCGGTTTTATAAGTATAGAAGTGATTTTATGACTGTAAATATGTAGGTATATATTAACATCAATTTAGAGGGTTCAGAAAGATTTTGTGAGATCATTAGTAATAATCTAAAATTTTCAGGTAATTTAGATTGTCTTTATGAAATTAGACTTCAATATTATATAAAATTTAGCTGTCTCCATGATATGAAACTTTTCTTTCCTGGGACCTAGTAGAAATTAATTTTTGAAATTGAAAGAACTGGATGCTAATGGATGCTACTGAGGAATAAAGTTTGAGTGAAGATGCTACACAGTTAAGCAGAGCGTATCACAAGTATACAGATTTGAAGACTATCCTTCCATAAATACCATGGAGAAAACATACATGAAGAAATTGGTAGTAAATGCAGGAGATTCAGGACATTTACCAAATTTACCAACATATTTTACTGCTCTATTTACTATGCATCTCAATGCATAGACTTTTCATATGAATTTATAAAAATGAATATAACAAAAGTTCCCTCTTAGGAACCTTAGATTACATTTATTGATGACTTAGTCCCAATTGTACTTTTATTTAAAGAGAGACTACCTTCAGTCTAAAGAAGAATAACAACATAATAATATTGCAGTAAAAGCATTTGACAAAATTCAACAATTGTTAATGACAAAACTCTGAACAGAATAGGATAGAAGGGACTTCCTTAACCTGATAAAGGGCATCTACAAAAAAGAAAAAAAAGGGCCGGCCGAGTGGCACGATGGTTGAGAGCTGGCTTGGGATGCCAGAGGGCCCCAGTTCAGATCCCACATATGAGGGCCAGTGACACTGCCCTCCTCAGCTAAGATGCTGTACAGCAGCTCAACCTGGAGCTGGGCTGCCGTGGGTCGCCGGCAATGGAGTAGGCTGCGGCCCCTGTGGCAGTGGGTTGCCATGGGCTGCCGTGTGTGGCCAGCAGCCAGCGTGAGCAGCCAGCAGCCGCAGTGAGTGGCCATCCAGAAGCTGACGACTGGTCTGCCTCACCCAGGAGGAGCGCAATGATGGTGCCAACTTGGGCCAGTGAAGCACCATCCTCCCCAACTAGACTGAGTAACAAAAGGACAGCAACTTGTCTGTTCCCATTCCCCCAATTCCCCAGCATTGTTCCCATCCCCCAATTCCCCAATAAAAAAAATAAAATCTTAAAAAAAAGGCAAACATTATCATTAATGATGAAAAACCAAATGCTTTCTTCTAAGAATAAGGAAATAAGGTAAGAATACCCACTACCACTTCTCCTATCCAACATCTAAGGGAAAGTTCTAGCCAGTGCAACCAACAGAATAAGAAATAATAGACATACAGATTAGAAAGAAAGAAACAAAACTGTCCTATTGACAGATGATGTGATTGTCCACATAGAAAATTCCAAGATGTGTCAAAGAAAAAAATCTGAACTATTAAGTGAGTTTGGTAAGGTCACATGACAAAGTTAGCACAAAAATTAATTATATTTCTGTATAATAGTAATAAAATATTGGAAACTGATTTTTCACTAAGATGATTTTTAGAATAGTTTAACGTTCACAGAAAAATTGAGGGGACGGTACATAGATTTCCCATATACCCTTTCCCTCACACGTGCACATAAAAGTCCCCTCCAGAGGATTTTTAATATAATATAATTTTAATATAATAAACTATCGGAAGGAGAAATTAAGAAAACAGTTCCATTTACAACTGCTTCAAGAACTATAAAATACTTAGGAATAAATTTAACCAAAGAAGTAGAAGACCTGTACTCAGAAAATTATGAGACACTGAAGAAAGACATAAAAGAAGATACAAATAAATGGAAACACCTACCATGCTCATGGATAGGAAGAATTAATATAGTTAAAATGTCCATATTGTCTAAAGCAATATATAGATTCAATG